CTGTGGAATTGAGGAAGCAGGTGTTTCCAAGGTTATGGAGGCCGGCTCCCACCCTGTACACACGCTCCCACTTAAGGGTGATCTTGTTCCCCGGAAAGAGCATCTTCTGCGGAGCAGGGATCCCATCGCTCTGGCCCCCGACCACATTCTCTAAGACTAAAGAAGGGGTACAGGCAATTTTGTGACATTAGCCGAGGACAGAACGCCAGAACTGAGCTTTCAGGGTAAGCATCAAAGAACAAAAGGTCAAACATGGAAAATGTCAGGCCATCAAATTCTGCTCAATTTTCAGTTCATTTTGAGAGCTTACCTTGCCTCTTAATTTGAGCAGGCTCTGCAGCTTTCTGTGCTGTAGCACCCTCAGTCCTAGGATTGAGGATCACATACTTGTTCTTTAGGCTGTCGAGCTGATAGGAGAACCCCTTGGTGGCAGGCTCAAACTCTATTTTCTGCAAAAGGACCTTCTTGGCAGAAGAGGCCAATAGCTTGTTGAGGTCACCCTCATCGCCTGTGTCCTTTCGGCCAGGTTTTAAAGCCTCCTTGAGTTTATCCACTATCGGCATTGTTGGAACATCACTGTGGGGACAAACAGATTGAGTGTCAGCATCACTTCTCAAGACTGCACAAAAAAATAAAAATAAAAATGTACCATTTCAATGATATCAATGACATGCCATCCTTTTTTTTTTATATCTGCAAAAAATGCTCACACAAAATTACTTTGTTTCAGAGTTAAACATGAGCAAAATTAAACCTGCAAATACAAGTTAAATTTCTCTCATAGGTAATAAATTAAGCCCGTTTGTTTGCCCTCCAGTGGGCACCTCTCTAGGCACATTTTCTGACATCACCTTACAAGAGAGATAAGGACTGAGTGCTTCCAGCTGGGTCTTGGCAGCTGTCCCTGCAGTTATGCAAGGCATCAGATGTAACATAGGGTGGGGGAGTGTATGGGATAGGAGAGGGAGAGCATTTATGCTTACACATAAGGTGTGAGCAGCTGTAGTTAACTGCCAAATTACATTTATACAAGTCACATTTTGACCTAATCAAATTTTTTGTCATCCTCTCAACTCCAGTGAGTGCATAATCAGCAAAGCTGTAGCTCCTTAAATTTTGTCACAACAGTTAGAGATCTACAGTAACAAGTAATAACAGTAAACCTAAAAGTGTTTTCCATGTACTGTTTCTACACATAAAAAGCAGCTTAATGTACACAAAGACCATTTTAGTGTTGAGAACTGCTGCTTTACACCAGGCAGCTGTAAAGGAGCTCTGATTCAGGCTGCTAAACTAAACAGCTGATGAAGGGTGTTAGTCGATCAAGTTGACTGGCCGGCTGACTGCAGCGGGAAGAAATGAGGAGATCAAAGTCCAAAGGAAAGAGTGACACATTGTTTACACAGCTGATCATTGCAGTTAACAGAGAGCAACTCCAAACTACGGAGCATTAGAGGGTCGGAGAGTAGGTGACCTGCAATCCCTCGAGTAACACATTCAACTATCAATCGCTGAACCTGTGACTTACTTTTTAAACTTACGAGTAAGCTATTATTACACAGCATAGCAACGCCATATTTTGATGGTGAGTGTGTAAAACATTCAATCTTCTCTCAGTTTACCCATACAAATGATACCGTCCCCCCCAGATAAAGACAACAAAACATCTAAGGAAAAAAAAACAAACAAACAGAAGCGAAGGCTACATCATAGAGACAATACAGCACTACGACTTACTCATCAGAGTAGGCAGTGACGTCATGAAGAGGGAAGGAGGGCCGAACATGCATTGTATGCACAAGGGCATGCTGACCTTCACGTGCTGCTGATACTGATACAACTAAGAAGCACAGAGCCCACAGGGAGAGGGAGCTAACTGCAGTGATGCAACCGTCCAAACAGGCAGCTCTGCTGATGCGCTGACCAAAACACGGATGTTTAATCCGATTGTGTCACATTACTGATAACACAGAAACTTTCTGACTGCTGTTTGGGATATGCTGGTTGCATAACTAACAAATGATGCTATTTAAGACACGGGTCATTTTAAGGTGAGTGAAGGTTTTCACAAACAGTGATAATCTGGGAATAATTACTTACACCGATGCTTAATTTGAGAAAAAAAAGAAAATCGATTACATCCAAAAATAAAACAAATACAATTCCTCGTCTTGTCAACTCAAGCTTACATCAAGCATAAAATTACACTGGTAAAGCTTTTTAATGTTAAGAGTACTTCAGATATCTTAAAGCCAACTTTAATAAGTTTTCACTTTATGTGGTAATTTATGTTAGCATGGCTTTGTTTTCTGTTCCACTTTCCATCAATGCCCTTTGCCTTTTTCGTTGTACATGTACCATGACAATAAAGGGCTATTCCATTCAATGAAGGAAGGGATGTACACAGGCAGACAGTCATTAAGCGTAAGGTCTTGTTAAGCCATTTTGCCTATGTAATCAATATGTAGTGCAATGTCAAACTAAACAATACGACTTAAAGCCTATTTACAGGGGTTTAAAAACTTATAACCTGGTTGTTTCCGATTTTAAAAGGTAATCCTCACACTGATATGAAAATATTTCATTCAATTTGTAGGAACACAACTGATATTGAACTTAAATTTAGATGTTTAGAAAACTGACTCGTAAAGGATAGATTGACTCCATATTGCACAGTGAAAGTTCGGAGAACCTCAGTTTGATCCTGAGAGTTCCTTCTGGGATTGCATCACGAAGGGCATCCTGTGTAAACATGCGGCGCGATCCTTTCCGAATAAGTGAGCAACCAAAACTAGCTTTTACTTTTGTAGGATAGATTGCAGCTGAATTAGTTTATTAAGTGCTTTTATGGACAGTCAATAGCAAATTATGTTAGCTACTAATATTTAAACAAAGAATAAAAAAAATAAAAAAAATGTAGAGACAGTGGGATTACTTTCAAGTACCCTCCAGTGAATACTTGCATTACCCAATACTGACTCTTTATTTGCATTTCGTAAACTATGCATACATAGATCGTGCACATATCCTGCCTAAACTACTGCTGGATGCAGGTGACTTCAAGGGCTACCAAAAATGTTGAATTATGACACAAAACAAACTATGAGAACATTTTAAAAAAATGATTCTTTTTGAATATATAGGAGGCATATATATATATATATATATATATATATATATATATATATATATATATATATATATATGAGGCAATATATCATTAAAAAAGGGCATTTATTTACAAGGGGTCACCACAGCGGGTAGCTTTACATGTTTTATTTATTTATTGTCTTGTTGAGCCACAGAAGCTTTGGATAATTAACATTACTTACTCAGCATAATTTATCCCTGAAATAATTCATTCTCAACTACTACTCAAACGACAGAGGAAAAAAAAATCCATAAACTATTAAAACAAAACACCAGAATATGAAAACATGCATTCAGCCCTCACCTTCTCCCATATCTAAGTCACCCACCACCACTAGAGGAGCATTGGGCCATCCTATATGTTTTTAAAACTGAGGGTTCAGATCACTCTTAAAGAACTTGCTGCAAAGGTTTGTCTAATGACACCAAAAAACCCCCCAAAACTGGACTACTCCAGGTTTAATATATAGATCTACAAAAAGCTACTCACTCGCTTCAACACACTCCCACAAGCACACTCAAAGTGTAGAGATTTCACTTCTTAAATCCCACAGCTTATTGTTTTGACCTGCTTATAAATCTACCTGGACGCATAATTTAAGCTAGTTTGAGGTCTTGTTTTTTCTAAAGGTCGTTAAGAGCTCCATGAAGTAGCCGGTGTAGCTGCTCACCTACTGGTCCCACCACTATGGGCCAATCACCAAAGCTTGAATGCTAGTTTGCTTATCTACAGCCGCAGCTAATCTCGCCCTGAACCGTTTAAAATTTATACAGGAAGCGTCGCTAAATATCGCAACTGCTCGATATTTAATCGTTTATCTGTCCCTGCTGTCGACTGATTCGTGTTCTGCTATTCAATCGTTTAACAGTGGAGCAACGCGGTTAGCAGCCAAGCTAGCTTAACGTGGCGAAAGCCAGCCTCCCTCAGTGCTGCAATGTGGTTAGCATCCCAGCACCCAGGTAGCTAACAAACCTCCCTAACCGCCACATCTCGCCTCTTAGCCCAACGACAGCACCACGTAAACAAGCAGCGAACAGATATTACACGAATACGCCTTTCCGTTCACTTACCTTTCACTCAACGGGACAAAATAATTTAAACTAGAAGCCTCTGCTTCCTCAGATGAAGCTCTTCAATCTAGTATTTTCGCCCATGCTGCATTATGAGAGGGCGATAGAAAAAAAATGACTGACAGGAATCACGGACCAATCAGAGCACAGGTCACGCTGTAGCCGAAAGGTTCAGCCAATCGGCGCTTAACGTGACGTCGATCTGTCGGGAGAGGGCTACACGTGACTTCCAGCCAACGCTGTTTACCATTGATGCGCGATACCTGATTATGTTTTTATATAACAACAAAAACGCGCGGAAACATGGCAGGGCCTGAATCACACCGCTACTCATGCTCATGAAAATTCCCAGAGGAGGGCAACCCCCCCCCCCATTTTACATTTTTAATGATGCTTTTTCATTTGCTTTTCTTTCTAAGATTGCATTTCATTCGATTGTCATTGCAAAGACCAGCAGTGTTATCCTAAGAGTAGGACATTTTAATGTTAGAATAGTAACGCATTTAAAATCTACAGTGAAAAAGGATTGCATGCTGTGAAATGCTGAATGGACTCATGTTTGCTTGATCTGGGCACATGGATTGGCTCGTGAATGTCACGTTGCTGTTGTCTCCAGTAGGCGGCAGTAGATTGCCTCAAACGAGTCTCTAAATTACAGATTTAGTAAGCTAAAATGATGCATGATGATCTGCACTAAATGCACATTCCTAGGCATTTAGATTTAGCAGCAAAGTGTGCTTGCTGCATGTACTGGTATGAAAATACTGAGCACACCGAAAGAGGTTTATGAATTTAATTGTAAGGGTCAAATGTACAGTAATGTTTCAGATGGCTATGCATACAAAAGTCATCTTATCTTTAAAAAAAAGTCCCATGTGAAACCAGCACATCATACTTGACTACAGTTTCAAATGACGAATCTTTTTACACTCTCATATTAATTATTCATGTCACATTTGCGCCACACTGACGGCAACCTTAGTACCGTCAGTGCGAGAAAAATGATTGGTTACAATCTGTTATTCCCAACAAAAATGTATTTTACTAATGTTAAGAAAATATATGGTGTTCTTTATTTAAATATACTGCAACAAAAATTAAGGGAACAATTCAATGATCTTGTTGTTTTCCACTGACCAAGCCGATGGGCCATTAAATTTTTTTCCCACAGTATATACATACACTTACATTTACATATTTTATTTATCAAAAAAAGAGAATTTAAGTGTTTTCCCAATAATTATTATATGTAGTACCTTAAATAAAATATGTGCTCACACGTACTAAAGTATAACAGTGCCTAGAGCTGTGATCTATATATGCAGAAACAAAACAAACAAAACAACAAACCATGGAGGATTTGATCCTCTTTTAATTCCAACATGTTTTTTTCATTACAGACAATATGAATGTTGCGATATAATTATGTTCAAAGTGCCTTCTTGTCTATTCAGGATTATAGTATAAGAAAAGCAGCGACTGTGGTTAAAGAGTCGTGCTTTAACACAAATCAGTTGCCACACATTTAAAAAGCATGCTCCTGTTCCCTGTGATAGCTCTGCCAGGATGATTGTTTCCTGGTGTTATTTATCAAAGCAGATTCACAGAACTTTGATCAGTAGGTACATGTTATGTACATGTTATTTTAATTATAGAACCCTTTAAAACTTGAATAAAGAATTACAGATTAATAGCTCAGGAAGAAATTGTATCATTGAATTATGGTGTTTTCCCCCCTTTGTTCCAGCTGGAGGAGAAGTGGTTTATGAGGATGTGCTTCAGATTCAGGGGCCAGTGTGGCAAAAAGCGCTGAGCTCATAGGAATGATAAGTGAAAACATGAGATCTGCAATTAAAACCTTTTTTTTTTTCCTTTTTTAAAAATCCACTCTACAGCTTTTTTGATAATTAAAAGAAGGGGAATTTGATGAGTTTTTTATTTTTGTTTTTGATATTTCTATGGTGGCATATTTAAACTGCAGACATGTGCACAGTGGTAAAGTTAAGGGTCTTCGATGTCCATGAAATCCTTTTTGGGCGCTGCAGAGCCTCTGTACCAGGCACAAGAGTTATCACTCCTCTTGATGCATGCATAGTGTTTAGCTTGTCTTCCATTTTCAGTCTTCTCCATCAACCAGTCCAACCAAAGGCACTCGGATGGGCTGTTGATCATGCAGGGGATGGAGCTGCAGGAGGTGATCTGAGGATCAGAAAAAGCACAGTGATCGTTACAACATCGTGCATCTAGCGGTGATTTGTTTTATGCAACTGGGAAGTGATCATCTGGTAAATGTAAACTTTAACTACTCCCTTAGACTTTTAATCATAAATTTTCCATACCCTGCATTCGCAGCCCATTTGATAGCGCTCAGTCAGACCCATCTTCTGAGTGGTAGTCAGGTTGTCCCAGGGTTCAAATAAGCCACACAGAGTGACGTGCATTGTCCCATCAGCCTCCAGCATTCCTACAGTGGAAGGAGAGCAAAGTGTAAATCTAGAGGATATATAAGAATCTATATGAAGCCACATTAAAGAACATGTTTGTTATATTACACAACATGTGCCTTACACTGCACTGAAAGTCATACCTGTGATTAGATACTCTTTCCTGCCGTCAGTCTCCAGAGACACTCCACACATCGCAGAAGAGCGAGCTGTGTAGAAGGCATCGATAGCGTTGCTGGGACCTTTGAACATCTGGGAATTCAAGCAAAAACATTTAGATTCCACTGAAGTTTTTACACATGGAAGAAAAATGATAAATGCAATAGCTTTGTCCTAAATACCTTGATCTGTTTAATGTCGTACTTAAGCCGTTTGATGGAATCCCCATAGACGTCATTGCCAACATCCACCTCTTGCTTTCCGACTACCTTTGCCCTGATAACTGGATAAAGACAAGAAAAAAAGAGAAAAAACAAATTGCATTAACATTCATTTTGTGTGAATGCCAGCTTTGTAACTGGAACGCTGCTTTGTTATGTTAAAACTGAAATGAATCCGCATCTATCTGTATCTGATCTGAGCCCTGCCCAGGTTTGGCATGCTGGAGTTGGCCGCAGCACATTGCTGTGGCTTGAATCTGAGAAGTTTGCATGTGCCAGGTCCTGGGAAGACAGAGGCGCATGAGTGTTTCATCAGCTGCAATCAGAGGGAGGAATGCATGCTGCCTGTTCCCAGGTTCCTGGGCCGACACAGGAGGAAGCCAGTCAGCAGTCTTTGAAAAAGCTGAACTAGAGTGCCCCCCGCCCCCAGGCCTCTCAGCCAGCCTGCCTTTCTGTCTGGAGAGAGGTGCTGACATGCAAATCAACCTCCTCCTTTCACATGTAGCCTCCTCCTTTTCTCTCTTGCACTCTGAAGCTGGAAGAAAAGAGCTCATGTGGAAAAAAAACAGGCTTTAATGGAAAATTACTATTAGAGCCATACAAATGAGCCGTTGAGCTAAAATCCCGAGTAGTCAAAAAACAAAAACAAAAAAAACCCAAATCAACTTGTGTTTTTCAAAGTTGCTGCTCTTTCCATGTGTGTTCAAAATGTGGAAGTGCAGTACAGTATGATCACATGTCAGCTGCAACCAGACACCCGGCAGTTACTGTATATTCACAGGACTGCAAGGAAGCAAGCGACAGAGCTAACACTAACCAGATGTTCTCTCTCAAGTTCCACTTCAGTCCTTGCTTTCCCAAGGTGGCAGCTACTGACTGTCTCTGATCGCTCCTTGCCAAATAATATCAAGCCCTTTCATTTGCCTTTTTTATATGAAGCTATGAAGATGTGAGCCATATGTGCCCTCATTCATGAGGCTTAGAGAACATCTCCTTTTAAGGGTCTAAAGCATCAATCCCAGACAAAAGGAAGCAAGAGAAAAAAGGAGAATGTGCGCACACATGGAGTGATGGAGTGATGGGTCCTGAAGCAAGCACGGGAAGGCAGTCACATTGCTGAAGTATTCTTAGCGTAACAATGTGCTGTGTATACAAGGAGAAGACGGCCCTTTAAAGTCAAGAGGGATACAAAAGAAAAGCTGTGTTAGGGATAATCTACACCAGTCACCGGATTTCTCTTTTTCTTTTTCGTTGTTTACATATCACAAACTCCCTCCCTCCCTCCCTCGCTTTGATGCAGAGTGAGGTAGCCGTGCCGAGAAACTCTCCAACTTCTCAGCAGAGTGTATTAGCGGTAATCCCCCTTTGCTCCAATGTGTCGAATCAAACAGAGACCTCTTCTTCTACGCCTAAAAGCAGGAATTAGAGCAGGTGGGAATAACCACAGGATGTTAAAGAGGCATAAAGTGAAAAATACTGAAAATGGGGTCTTATGCGCATACTGATATATAATCTTAGCATGTTTTAGAATTAGGTGTAGCTCTTGAGTTACATGTACATGAGAAAATAAGGCAAGTTATCGGGGAAAAAAGGATCTTTAAGCTAATTAATGTGATATTCCTTTGACATGCCACCTATTTGATTTGATGGATTTTTCCTCCACAAACTGTTCGAGCGGTTTAGAAGTACAACTTTATTCTCTGTGCTGGTATATAGTGTGTACGCAAGTTCTTGCCAGAGCCTGGATGTTTACTGGAACAGGCTGACAAAGCCCTTTAAAAATCATAAGTTTCACAGAACTGGAAACCGAAGGAACCATCTAATTTTCTAGTTACTCAAACAATAAACACAATATTTTGCATGCAGTATTGTGGTCATGGGAGGGTTTTAAAAACAAAGAACAAAAAAGCAAATGCATGTCATGTAATTGAAGAGCATGTGCCCTCGTCTTCCTCTCCGAGGAGCCACAAAGCGGTCAGAGTGCGAAAAAGTCAAGTACAAATTCAAACTGACTATCCTGCTGATCCTGTGCAAAGAGATACAGACTAATCTGAGGTAATCCTTTGTTTTCCTTTTAAAAACGGACAATTGTAGAGTTTAAATACTCATCATCTCATTGGTGTGCGTGTGGTAAGCAAAAGGTCCCCGGTACGATTCCAGCCAGGGATACAAATCGCCTTCAGGGAAGAGCATCCGATGTAAAATGCAAACACATGAAGCTATGGACGAAGATAACTTTAAAATCTCATCATCTACATTAGCCGTTAGTTTTGTTATGCCTTGCATAAAAAAATGTAGCGTTTTTAGCGTTTTCTCCTGTTTTTTTTACAGTCTGCATGTGACTGAGGCCATGGACATAACGTTCACATGCAGTTTCCTAAAGGGGAGTTGCAAGTGTCGCACTGCACGGATCAATCCAGCGCGCTATTGCAAGTGGTGCTGGAGCTTAAGGCAGCTGCTGTGGTTATTTGCACAAATTCTGTCCAGCTCAAAGGACGGAAATCTGGTTTTAATATCAGCTGTGTTTGCACAGCTTGCAATTTATGGGCTGCTTTTGTCCCAGAAGTCGTACCCACTACTTTCTGTTCAGGAACCAATATGACTCATTTTCTTTCTTCACAAAAAGCAGCACAGATAGTTTTTAAATTTAAAAAGAAAAAGAAAAGTAAAGAATAATGAGTGCGGTTTATGAATACCCAACATTCCTCTGCCTCCGCCAAGGAACCAGAAGATAGATTTCCATTTATGAGGAAAGATTGCTCTGACTGTTTTGACAGTGGAACTGTTTACAACAAAACTTGATCCTAGGCGTGCACTACAAACCAGGCTCTACAAAGCCAGACTTACTTTGCTGGATAAAACCATATACACCAATCAGTGGCAGTTACCTTTTTCTCCTAATCACATTTTCTCTATCAGCCTCTGTGCTGACTCCCAGTTAAAGGGGGTTCTGACAAGACATTAGACTCTTCTTCTGCACAAAGTTGACCAACAGCTGACTTCAGTAAATAGGAACATAATGGCAGATGGCTGCCCCTCCCTGGTTCTGGTTTTGCCCGAGGTTTCCTACTGTTGTGATTTGGTCCTGTAGACATAAAACTGAATTGAATTGAAAATCATTGTTGTTCCAGATACAAGGATAAAAGAAGTCTCTGATTTTATGTGTGTGTGTGCTTTTTTTGTTCCTGTAGCACCCAGGAGTTCCAATAGATACTAAAAGGTGCTACTTATCCTTAACTATCACTGCTCACTGACATCAAACCAACCCATCTCCATGTTTATCCAAATCTCTGAAAATAAGCTGGTTAAGTCTGCACCATAAGTTACCATGGCGATCAACTGAGGTTAAAAAAAAAGAGAACGACTGTTATGAGATTAAAAACTCTGGCTCAAGGCTTAAGCCTCCATTAATCTTAGTATCAAACTTGCATCTGGAATTTTCATTTTATATCGACTTTCAGGTTATACGAAGGCCCACCTTTAAAAATGACATCACAAGTGGTGTAATGATCTTCCTGCACTGTGGAAATGAACTGCTCTTCAGTAAGTATCTGTAATCTCCAAAAACCAAAACCAGCACTAGCTATGTGAAACTTTAGCAATACTTCCAAGTCAGTTAGCTGTCTGGCACTTATTAAGATAGTATCTTGACTTATTTTAATCTACATAGGAATGCTGTATTTAATACACACACATCATTTATTATAACACAAGTGGCCCATGGTTCAAAGAAAAACATGATTCACCTTCATTTTAAGCCCAAGAAGAATAAGAATTTTGAATGAGCTTGCTTAATGCAAAATTTCATCAACCCACTGAGGTAGCAGTCAGTTCATGGGCTGGTGAAGTGGAATGCCAACGATTTCGTAAATTCCCGAAACTTCTCTCTGACGTTTAAATAAGTTGTGCAAGTGTGCAACAGTTGACTGCCCTCTCTGTGACCCAGCAACTTGGTGAAGTTTTGCTGGCGCTTTTCTTCTCCAACTAGCTTGAGCCCACTCTTAAACTTTGCCTAAACCCCCGAAGACACGAACTCAAGAATATTTGGTCAAGAAACAGATTCCCCGAGACTCTATGGTGGTTTATGTTTATGTGAGGGTCTATCCATGGTGCTGAAGCAGGAGCGGAGGGTCAAGGTCATGTTAGAAACTGACTTAAGAGATGGAAATGAGGTGAATCAGCTGTGAGGCTGAGATGACTGCCAGCATCTTTGTTTTTCTAGAGTTCTGCACAATCTGCCTAATCAAAAAACAGAACTTATTTTAATAGGTTCACTTTGTAAAGCCTAAAGCACCAAAATAGGGTAAAAAGAAAGAAAAATTGTCTTCCCTTTTAGTGCGGTATCTGACTTTCCATTTGTGTACATTCTCAGGTAGCATAATAAAGTTTATTCATCCTCTTGAGCAATGGAATCCAGTGAGTAAAAATCTTTGAATAAGTCACCTTCTGTCCACATGCCACACACTCAGCCATCTCAGAAGCAAGAAAAAAGACCCGGAGCTGGACAGGCTGGTCACTGTTAACAGTCCTGTTAGCTTAAGGTCTGTGTTGAAGGCAGCAACAAGTACTTTTTTGTAACAGGCGAAATTAAAGGGAAATTATCCTCAGGAGCGTTTGAGTAGGATTAAATGAATTTGCCTTTCAGTAAACTATATGACCACTGAGGTGATACTGGTGAAAGAAAATGAAGTTATATTCATGTTGTCATAAACAAGCACAAACACAAATGATTTTGTTTAAAGTCTCCTTAGCAACAACAAGGAATAATGTGGTTTACTGTAGATTTAAAAAAAGCCTAAAATGGTATTGAAGAAGACAAAACTCCAGACAGTATATTGATGTGTCTATGAAAGAGCATTGAAGCTATCAACAGAAGATTAGAGAAAAAGAGGAGGGCAGTGGAAAGAAAGACTGGGGGACAGAAAATTCCATCCTCCTCCCACTGCAACTGTAAACACGGGAGCTGGGCAGTCTCCCTCTCAGAATACGATGGTTTCCTTGTGGGGGGGGGGAAACCCCAAACCAATTTATCCTAGACATTGCTAACTAATACATTAATGGCAAAAACACAACTTGATGTGTTGATTGTTAGTCTAAAAATCAACTTACCGACGTCTGAGTTGCAGAACACCTGCTGGGGATGCCTCGGGGAGCAGCTGCAGGCTTCTGCCAGTTGTTGCACTCGCCAAAGACACAGGATGGCCAGAGTGACAAAACATCTCTTCATCGTCCAGGTCATCTCTGAAAACTACGCTTTCTAACTGAAACTGGAAAAGTGAGTGAGGGTATAGATATAGACCTGCCTGTCGGGTTTAAAGGAAACGAGTCGCTGTCCTTGGCTAGAAGTCGACGCACGACGGTGCTGTGCATAAAATGATGCACAGGGCACGAGAGAAAGTGTAATCCTGCTAAAGACTGCACACCAAGTCTGTTTTCCACTACCCTCAGCAGCAGCAGCCACGTTTTATTAGCAGGCAGCAGCAGCAAACTCCTCCCCCCCCTCCGGTGGCCAGAGAGCGCAAGAGCGCGACAGAGGTCAGGAGCTGCCGACTTTACACACGCACCCCTTAAACTACGTAAATCTCAGGCTGATGCGTGAGGAGGCGGATAATTGTTTTTAGGAAACGACGGTGATAACAAACAGCATCACCCTGTGACACACGTATTTTGGGACTTGTGACTTTTTCCCCTTTTTTTTTTCGTAAGTTTTACGCGAAGTGTTTCCTCACTCTTGCACGCCACTCCATAAAAGTACAAGTCTTGCAGTGAGAGTATGTAGGTATTACCATGAAACTTATGGGTATCTAAAAATATTTTAAAATGTTTTAATTGTTTAATTTTTGTACTTTTTTAAGGCCCCTTCTTTCATTTAACTAATTATTTGACTTATACCTTGTGTGGTTTCGCGCGTGTAAACTCTCGCGTTGTTTTAATTATAGCAACATTTTATATTTTATCATTTTTTATCTGAAGGTTTTTAAGAAATAGTAAATAAAAAAGTGCAATATTTCCCCCCGAAATACGGTAGAGCAGTAAAAACTAAAATTTGGCATAAAAAAAACTATCTGTTCTTCAGTTTGTGTGGTTCCTGCCACAGAGGTAACATTTGTTTCTCTAATCATAATAAACAATTTCTCAGTGGATTATATATAAATGCCTACAAAAGGCATCAAAGAGCTTGGAACCTGAACATCTGGATTCAACTCCAGAGGTAAGAAAGCGTCAGACTAAATCTTACTGACGTTTACAACTATGCTACTAACTTAAAATACAACTTTGGAATGAAAAGCCTTTCTAGATGGACGTGTGTGTGTGTGTGTGTGTGTGTGTGTGTGTGTGTTACTCATTTAAATTGTTAGATAAGGACAGGAGCTTTGTTTGTTTTAATGATAATAAATATGACGTATTACAATGCATTACTATTGTTAATACATGATATTCATTATAGTCTCTGTACTGGACACCATGAGGCAATGGCTCAGCACACCAGAATAGTCTTGTGACTACATTTCTCCACTAACAGGAGACCAAAAGGAGCAAATACTGTGGAAGTTTTAAAAAAGTCTGTATAGTCTCATTAAATGAAGTGGTTCAATTATCACATCCTGAGAGAAATCCCCAGTACAGCAACAACTATATAAGCCATTTGTTGCCGTACCTTTTAAAAACACATTCAGCAATCATGGAGCAACACTGATATTTAGTGTCTTTTAGCCCAGTTTTTTGCATTAACAAACTCCTGGAGGAAATCTCTGTCTTGGCATAAATAATTCTTCTATCATGCTAAAAAACTATCCTATAAAATCAATGAGACTCCTGTGAGGGCAAAACCATTTGGCAAAGCTGTGGCTTGGACAGACAAACAATTTACTAAAAATTGCTATAAATCTCACTTAAGCTGTGGGTAGCGGGAAATTCAGGCCACAGTCCCCTGCAGGTTCATCGCTCAACTCCTTTCCCGTTGCCAGGTCTTGTCACGGCAACATTTGATTCACTGTCACAAAAATATTGATTTTAGATGCTTTAAACATTTGCACACATGATAATTCGCCTATGAGTAAATCCTAACGTGGGTCAGGCTGAGTAATCCGTAGCCCACGCTGCGCAGTTATCTGAGGTTGGAATTTAGCGAGAGTGTTTATGTATCTTATAGTCACTTTCAGGAACTCCTAAAACACTGTCTGACAGAAGGAGGTGTGGCACGGTGGAGAGAAGTGACATCATGCCCTTAAAGTTAATGAGCTCAGTCTGGCAGCAATTCAGCAGCTCCCACCCCCAGCCTGCCGAGAAAGAAACATTATGCTATAGTCGAATTCCTGAGTCGTTCCTCATCCCGTATTCATGTACAGAAATAAATGGAAAGTTTACCGCTGCTTCTGGAAACTGAGGATCTTAAGAGTTTTAGGGTTGCGGCCTCTTGTGTTGATTCTGGCACAGGAGGGCGAGATCACAGCGAGGACATGATGTACAGTATTCAGCGATTAGAGCTGATGATGAATGAAGAAGAATGCCAGAGAGGGGACTGGATCTGCTGTGGCTGCCTCGCTCCCTGACATCATATTTGGCCACTGACTGTGAGTCCTCTGGCCACTCCGGCAAATATTTCCACTGTTTTTCATGGCTGAACAATTTTTGCATGTTTTTCTTTTCCACAGGTCTTTTACTTGATGTCTGTGTTAAAGAAAATTTTTTTAAAAAACACAGGCGGGAGAGGAAGAAAGCAAAATGGTACAACCAAATTGGTGTCATCTGCGTAACTCATTGCCTTTGTTAAATTCAGACATTTATTTTACCGTTGTATTTACATGTACCTTTGGAGTGAGATCACCACCAATGAGATAAGAAAAATTCCCAAACTGTTTGAACTCTGGTAAGTCGTTATGACTCGTAAACAGAGTGCAGTTTACCAGAAACAATAGAGCTTAGAGGGACAATACCACAGAAGATGGGTGTGAGAAAAATCAAGACAAACATACAAAAGGAAGTGACACATCTGAGACAGAGTTGCCAGAAATATGCTTCTGTTTAATACAACTTTACCAGGGGCACTGGGGGAACACCAGATGCCTTCTTTAAGGCAAGGCCTGCTGCCTCCTGTCCAAACAGTCTGCTTCCTTTACACTCATATGCTGACTGATGTGATGGGCTCTGCTCACATATCACACCCTTGTCCTGAGCTCCTGGGTATATTCTGAGCGATTTCCCGCACTACGACTCTCTCTTTAGAACAGAGTTTTATCCACCAGTCGAGATCTGGATGATTGTATCAACATTTGGTTTTAATTCGTTGAAAGAGGGCGGATTTGTCAAAGAAGTGCAATGTAAGCAGCCCCCTCTGTGTACATTACCAGCTACAAATGCCAAAAGGGGCTTAAAAATGGCCTGAACCTCCATTCCCTAAATTACAGACTTGCAAGGCCAGGAATACTCTCAAAAGGAAGTGCCCAGTAAGGCATAAAAAAGAGGTTTTCATTGTGGGTACTGGTGGGTGCTGTGGCACTGACCCACATCCTCTGACTCCCAAACAGACCCCTCGCCTGTTATCTGCACACATTGCACATGACCTGACCGCCACGCGGATTTCCAACTGTCCAGCCCCTCTTTGCACCCTCAGCCACAACCCACGGGGTATTTCCAATAACTTTCCATCCATCATTGCAGCTATTCGCAATTCACCGGTGACAATGGAAGACAGTGAATCAGCATTAGGAAACTGCTTCAGGGACACCGATGTGGAAGAAAACATCTGTTTGAAGTTCCACGCACTCTGAGGTCAAATGTCCACATCCACAGATGTTAGCAACTGAGATGTTAGTCACCATGAGTCTGCTGATAATATCCAAAAAGCTTTCTTAGTCTCTTCAGTGCATTTTAATAAGTGGTGCCTCTCTGGGTAACTACGGTGAGTGTGTTTACAGGAACTTTCACTTTTACCTAACAGGCACAGACTTGTAAAATATCAAGTTTGTACAAAATGTACAGTCATTTCCTCTGCAGACAATAGCACTACCATTTCGTGACTTTGGTACTGTGAGCAGCTCCTTAAATGATGAGCAACTTAAAGAGGGGAATAGATGTTGTGCAATTTGTTTATCCTGCTAATTCCCACAGAAATCCAAATCCACTAGAAAGCTGTTTCCTCTTACACATGGGAATTGGGATATGGGACTGGTTTGAATATAGTGACTACACCTTTCTATCTAACATTCAAACACATTCATACTGTGAGGAACACATCAGAGACTGGAGCAGCCAAGTATCAAACTACCAACCTTCTCATTAGTAAATGAGCTGCTACGTTCTGAGCTACATCCAACAGACTCAGAGGAAATCAGAAATGTGTTTTCAGTGTTCCAGTAGTTGTTAGCATAGTTCTTTTTTTTCTTAAAAAGTCACGTGAAACATCTAAAAGGCTAAGAACACCTTCACTGCTACCCTTTATTCCATAGAAATGAAAAGGGTCAGTAGCAGTCAGGTGCTGCTAATAAAATATACTCGATTAACTGAGCATCAGCTAAGTGTGAGCACTCCTTGAAAAGCAGAAGATTTTGAACTTTGTTGGTCTGGGGCATTTAGCTATGTGTTAATATAATGTCGCAATCTTCCAGGAAATTCACCCTAAGGTCAGACTATCCTCGGACAAATTGTGTAAAACCCGAGAGCTACACCTTAGGATCTACAGGCCTCGGTTAGCAGGTTAAATTTTAAAGTTCGTGACAGAACAATTAGAAAAAGACTGAAGAAATGTTGGTTGTGAGGGTTGCCAGGAGAAAGTGTCTTCTTTCACGCAGCTTGCGTTTGTAAAGTTGCATCTGAACAAACCACGAGACTTCTGGAACAAAGTGGAGATGTTTGGCCACATTTGGTGAAATCAAACAGCGTATTAGCACAAATACCTCAAACCAGCTTGAGCTCCTCTGTATACCTCTGTGCCTCCATGTGCCACCTCTGTGCCTTTGTCCTATCATCTCTTTTAGCTCTGTCACCTTGTGTTTGCCACTTCCCTGCTCCCGTTCTGTGACATTTTGAACTTCCTGTATTTCTGTTAGCATTAACGCCGTTTTGATCTCCTCACTCCTGCATTTGGATGCGCAATCTATCTTCTACACAGCTGAACCTTCACATTTGCAAAGAAAAGTGGGGCAAAAACCCTCCGCGATGCTGTGAGACTGAGACCCTTTGCTGCCGAACATTTCAGTATTAATGTGATGCTTAATTCTCGGCATGTTTGCAACTTGGTTTGTTATGTTGTTGTGCACTTTTGCCATAACGACACACTTAGTTGCATCTGACATCGGTGGAAATTGGGAAATTCTGGAGGATGTTCAGATGATGAAGATTACATAGTAAGAAGAACATTGTTCATAAAAGCCATGTGGAATTTCAAAATTCTGGGGCTGACCAAACAAACAGAATATGTCATGACATGCGGGGTTAATTTTTTGGTGGGTTAAGTGACACAATAATGAAAAAGCTGCCAG